TTTTGAGGCAAATCTATTACCATCTCTACGAGTATATTTTATATATATATATATATATATATATATATTATAGATCTGTGCTTTTCATGTTTCTGGGATATTTTGCGGCTGTGCGTGTGAATAACGCACACTTAAAATGTAAGCTTAATTTTCAATGATTATTTTAGAATTGTGTCCAGCTCTGGCTGAAATATCTAGCAAGTGTGTTAGACACGATAAGAAGAAGAAAAAGAAAAGTAAACTCACGGAACTATACTTATGGCTGTAGACCTCTTCCCGTGTACTTACTGCAACACTTCCATCACCGAAATCTTTATATGTATATGCAATGTCGTTACCTGGGATACAAGATAATGTTTTTATTCAATTTTTAGACATCTACATTAGTTCTTTTTATGTTTATCAAATTTGCATTTTAATTAGTCTTTGCTTATTGTAAAGCGCCCTGATAATTTTTGAAAGTATAATAATAATTATAATAGGCCTAATAATAATAATAATAATAATAATAATAATAATTATTATTATTATTATTATTATTATTATTATTATTATTATTAAATTAAATGAATTTCGGAAAAATGCCGAACGTTTTGCAATTATGTAAGAAATTATAATCCAGTTCTGCGTTGATGAAATGTAAGGATGTCCTCTCGTACTTCCTAAGCAAACAAATAGGCAAATCTTTAGAACTAAATTCCTTGACAATAGACCCAAACGGACGTAAATTAATGAAAAAACACAACACATTTGAAGAGAAGAACTAAGGATTTAATGGTAAACATGTTTCGGGTGTACTCTTTAACCCATCTTCAATACAATCAGAAAACAAACCAAAAAACTCGCCATTCTTCAATACGAGTGTATAATATATATACAGTACTTAAATGAATATTATTAAATTCTTCTTATTATTATTTTGTATTTTGTTTTACCTAATGGCAAATTCTTGTTAGTTCAACTTGTATAGATTCGTGGTAACTGTTTACTTACGTAAAAGTTGACTATGTGAACAAAATGTTGTGGTTAAATTTAACATATTGTCCGCCTCATCTTAATGCTGGTTACAGTAACTTTTACTGTGAGAGTGTTATATAATTATAATACAAATAAAAAAACATCTTTTTCCCAAATAAGGTGTTGATTTAAGCTCAATAATGAAAAATAGAATTATTTCGACAGATGTTTGAGTACTTAACCTAATATCTGCGTAAACGGTGTGTGCGTGGTTATGATCAGATTATCACATTTGCTTTGACAAAAACGGACTGCTGTATGCACATATACAGTCACGATGCCTATACATGATGTGGTGGCATTATGACCATATTTTCATGTCACATTTTGTCAAAAAAAATTTGATAGTCTGGACAGGCCATAACACAATGCTACCTTGTTCTACCGTTGCTGTGAATAAAACCGGTACTTCAATTGGCATATACCAAACGCCAGCAATAAAAGTGCCATCTTCTGGCGATCTGTATTGTTCTTCGACCGGTATATGTCGCGGTATAACCTCAAAACCATAGATAATATCCAGGATCTCAACCTACATTATCAAAATTAGAGATAACAAAACAAAGTCTGAATGTTCTACAAAACATTAATAATATTATTAGGGAGTTTTCGCCAGCTGTTGTATCTGTCTTTGTATTTCGCATACTGTACTACTCTCTTCTGAGTTCTGTGGATTTGTTAATAGATAGGTCACCAAATATAATTATGAAACAAATATTTAAGTGAATCATTTGAGCCTTTTGTTGTTTAAACTAAGAGTTTGTTATATCTTGTATTTAGCATCCATATTGTTGTTAATAATTATTTGAAAACTTTATTATCAAGAATACAAACATTACAGCATTGAAATTGTAATGTGAAATTATTAATTGTTTAAAAAAGAGTAAGAGCAAGAATCTGTAAATTATAATATTATAATTTAGAGGTACCTAGTAAGAAAAAAAAATGAATTTAAAAAAGTAAGAAAAAAAAATACAATTAATAAACATATTGAAACACACACACAGAACACATCCAATGATTTAAAATTCAGATAGGAATAGGTGACGTTCGATTGCACCACGACGATAAAATTTATAATTAAAGATACTAGAAACATATGATAGCACTCTGAAGTGATAGATACATCAAAAGCTTTACGCACATTCCGACGTACGTGGCGCCCTTCTCTTTCTGCTAATGATGGGATCTCAGTCAATATATTCCCCGTCTATTTATAGTAGTAATACTGAAGAGAGACAACTTATGTCCTGCTTCACAAAAGACATCAATTCATAAAAGCCTTTCTTGAAGACAGGCTATTTCCATTCCGTCACTAAGAAGTTTTTATATTCCTTGTATTCTCACCATGCTTTTTGGTGCTACATTTGTTTTTAATGAGAGTTATCGTATGTTCGTAGTATCTTTGCTATAACGTAATGTCGACACACAGAGTTCTTAAACAAACAAAAACAAAAACAAACAAAAAACACGCGCGACGGCCAAGGATAAGTGAATCCGGGTTAGGGTCACGCTGTTACGCAATCGAAAGCTACCCTGTGCCTGGTACCAGGGACAACATACCTCGACTTCATATTCCTCACTATTGATGGGATTCTCGAACTTTAAAGTGAGGAGGTATACACCAGGGTACGTGAATTCGATTTTTAAAGTACAGGAGTCGCCAACAGATGTGATGTCATATATCTTGTCTTTAAGGACCTCATCAAATGCATAGCCACCGGTTATTGTGACGTCAGCGAAAGTTGCTGGCTTTACAGCACCGTTAGTGTATGATGTAACGATCGTAATAACGCCTTCAAATTGAAAACAAATAAGTAATATAAATAACAAAACGAACAACATTGAAAATATATTTATTCTTTGTAAAATACAGTTATGTATTTTTGCAACATAATACAACATATCCGAATAATACACCAAGTTGTAGATGGTTATAGTAGGCCTAAGTTGGAAATGGTTGAATATCTTGTTGTTCTCATAACCACTTTTCAGGGATCACCTCATAACTCAGTTGATAGAGTATTCGAATGGTCATCGGAAGGACCTGGGTGTTCATCAAGATGGAGACATACATTTTTATCAAATGTTTATTATCATCTTAATGAAGTGAAGGTCTTTCCCTGTATCAATGTTAATGTGCATTCGGACCGAATCCGAATGTTGGAATAGGGACACTGGCGTTCAACGCATCGGAAACGCGGTCCAAATTTCCGTTCGGATCCGATGTGAAAGTAGCTTTACTATCATGTGATTTACATCAAATATATACTAGACTCACAAGATAGAACTCTCCACAGAAAAAAAAATTGTATCACCCCGAATTGCATCGTGGATAAACTGTACTAACGCACGTTTTTTTTTATCTAGTCGTACGCGGCGCCCTATTAAATGGGGCGCCGCGTGCGTCTGGATCTGGTTGGCTGGACATAAACTTAAGTTGCAATTACAGTATTGGAAACAGAAGAGCACCGCGTACGTCTTGATCTGCGTGAAATGTATGACGTATTTATCCGCTTCACTTTTGCTATATCAGAGTTCTATCTTGTGTTTCTAGTATCTTTTTTTACTATGATGTGATTTACATTGTAATAATATACAGTATTTGATACTGAGAAGATATACTAATGAAATGTTTGGTTTACAGTAAACAGGAAAAATTAGTTATTTACCTTTAACATCTCCTAATCCATTTGGTTGCGGACTATTTGTAGTAATTTCATATGCATCTAAATCAACCGGGTTGTAAACTGTGATCTCCAATTCAAATACTTCCCAGTTCCACAGATTACTTGCGTTTACCTTTACTGTCATGTTGCCAGAGGCAATAAATAAGTGTGTAATATTGTCTGGCACGTCAGGGCTAGTTGCTGTTGGAGAACGTACATAAGAATATTTAAATTGTAGGCCTATGCAATCATGACACGCTTACTTTATTAAGAGATGGCAGATAAGAAAATTGTATTTTCATAAAAATTTGTATAATTAATGTTGTATTTAATGATTTCAAACATTATAAAACTTCACTGAAGTTCTGCTTGTTGGTTTTGTGTGTTTTATATTTCATACCTATTAGAATAGTTCGTATTACTTCGTATTACTAAATCTGTTGGACTATTGCAATGAAGTTGATTATGAATTATCATTATTATTATTATTATTAATATTATTTAGTTATATTATTCAAATTATAGCTATATTTTCAAAATTCAAAAAAAAAAAAAAAAAAAAAAAAAGATCATTTTTTGATTTTTTTCTCATTCGTTTTGTAACTTTATATCTTACGATAATTTAATATAAATTTGCATTTTTTACTTTTTTTTAATTAGGTCCCCATGTTCTCTTATGTAATATTGGTTTTTTTTAATATATATTTGTTATTATGTATTATCTGTACCGACTACATAGATTCCAGGCATTTGATTGGTTGAAGCCGGACAATAGTTTCAGCCATGCCCGGCTAGCGAGGATTAGTCTTGTTCTTTTTACCCTCTCGCCCTCTCACAATTCGCGATGTAGAAAATTATGCTAAGCCTATTGTTTTAATGGCGTCTTGCTTCTACTAATTTCATCACATTTGACCTAATTTGTTGACCTGGAAGCGGCACACTGTACTGGTAGGCTAGGAATAACAACTGCAGAGTGTTCCAGTTTCAAACTGGTTCATGAACGTGAGAAGTGTATTGAGTGAGTTCAGCACAGTCATAATACGAAAAAAACAAGTTAAGTATGCGAATATTTGAGTATCTCAAAGCCACAAACTGTGATTTACAGAGTTATCAAATGCAGGCCTCAATGAATTGCTCGGGAAATTCTACTACTACTACTAGGCCAGCCCTAGCCTAGGCTTCTTCACGACTCAAAGAACAGGGAATCTATGTAGTGGTATATAAAACAACTATGTACTGGTATTTTAATCGAATCATAGTTCAAATTATAGCCCTTGGTGATATATCTGGAGGCTACAGTATAGCCTCCATGTCACATCGGGCTATAATTCGAATCATGCCCCTCAACCCAGTAAATATTTGTATATTATAGCCTATAATGCTATTTTCTTAATACATTTTTTTCTCTTGATGATTTTAGGCATTTGCAACTTTTTACTTTATATACTTTATACAGCTATTATGTAAATGCATGTAGAAAAAAGTAAAGGTGAAGGTGGGAGAACCCCACGAAAGACAAAAACAAAACAAAACATTAATTTCGTATTTTACATTAAATTGCAAATATCCACCACGTATATGATGCTTTTAGGAAATTATCCTATACAATAAATATTCTATTAAAATTAATAGAGTAAATTTAATTCAATTACAACATTGATATCCACACCCATCTTGCATTTATAGTGATTGCAATAGAGTTTGAAATAAATATTTGAAATACTACATACAATTTCTATCTACTTCTTCCGTTGGAGAGCCATCTCCCCAATCGATCGACAAAAGTGCTGGAATACCCCGTTGTAGCCAAACGAACAGAGTAGCTTCTTCAGTAGACCTAACTCTGTCTCTTATACACATCTAGATGTGTATAATGACCATATTTAGGCATGTCACATGTTTGTCAAGTAAAAGTTGATAGTCTGGCCAGGGCTTTAAAAACAACTCTTGAAATGATTCATGTTATTCTAGAAATATAAATATAAACATATGATGGAATGAAATGTGTATACACAAAGGAGTTGTTCAGAGAATCACTGAAACATCAGATCTTCAACTAATTCCATACATTTTAACTGAAAAAATCCAGCAAATAAAAGAATACCTTGGCCTATCAGAATATTATTTTATCTGTAATTATTATATTAATATGTATTCATATCTAATCATTGTGCCTTCATTTCTAAGTGTTAAGAAATTCTATAATGAGTAATATGATAATAAGGGAAACAAATTTCTTTTAATATTCAAAACTTGAGGACCAGGGGCCAATGCATATCTGAACAGGTGATTTGTGGATGCTTCGGAGTTGCTGAGCTGTGGTATGGGCCCCTAGAACCTCCTATCACCTGCCCCGAATTCTCAGATAGCCTAGACAGCAGGAAGTGTCACTTAATTCACGCCTGAATCATATCCGCTGCAGCGCCAACGCCAACCCTACTCGGTGCCAAACAGACAACGAACTTTAGCTCTTCAACCAATGAAAATTATCTTGTCTTATTGTTTAAGATGTGTATAAGAGACAGGTATTAAGGTATTAGTCAAATACCCTAAAAAATTCAAAAGTATGTTTTTAAGCTCTTCGTGTTTCTACAGCATAGCGAAAACAACGAAATTTTGTAGGCCTATTATATTACGCAGATTTTACAATATAAGTTAACTGGTTGGTGTTCCATATAAAGGGTATTAGAATGGCGCCCTAAATTACCCTATTCTTCAATAAACAAAATAGTGAGGTACGCGTACCGGAGAAATCATGTTAAAGTCAGACTCCGGAGAAAAAAAAAATTTGATATGTTGTAGAACTGATTTTTCTAAGACAGAAAAAAAGTTGTTTGACGAAAAACTGGGGAACGGGATACAGATTTTTGAATATTTAAAAACTGGGGGGAAAAGGGGTGTAACCGGCTATTTTTACACCTTTTTCCCCCAGTTTTTAAATATTCAAAAATCTGTCTCTCATTCACCGTTGCTCAGTTTTTTATCGAACTACTTTTTTCTGTCTTAGAAAAATCAGTTCTACAACATATCAAAAATGTTTTTCCTCCGGAGACTGACTTTAATCATTGTGAAGATAGGCTGTAGTAAGATAGGACCTCAGTGCAGTACGTAGGCCTAATCGGTAAGCAAAGAATTTCTGTTGTATAAAATTCATTGTGAAATGAATCAGTTAGATTTGAATATTGGCATATTGGCATTCAGGTTTAGAATTGATGGTAGGTGTCTAGGCCAAGGGCCAGGGGCCAGGCCAAAGGCCTAGACCAGGAGCCTTCCAAAAGCCTAGATAGTCGTCAGGGGCAAGGCCTGTAAGAGAACTAGGTGCACAAAGAATACTAAGATATAGGCCAGGGTTTAAGAGATGTGGTGCAGTTGAACTTGTAAAACACAGAATCGTTATATTGTTTTTTCGATTTTCTTTAGATACAATCTCACAATAGGAGAGCTAAGGAGGCAAATCTTGCACTTTTGGAAGAAAGCATGAAACTTCCCACAGTGATACTATGATTCCTAAGGATCATTTAAAAAAATAGACCCCAAAAAATAATCCGCTTAGTGGCCGCCATCGTGAAATTAATAATGGCCACCAAAATATTGGATTTTTATCAATAATCTTCATATCTACAGCACCTAGCACTGTCATTCAAAGGTATTTACCTATGTTTTCGATATCAGGGAGTATTATGCTGTGATCAGAAATTATATCAGATGGCCGCCATATTTGATTTCAAGATGTATGTTTTTGATCTACTTGTTTATTATATGATACAAAAACGCTTCTAGACAGTCGAATACAAAATGTTTTATTCGTGTATACATATACCACAGGTGGCAAAGTGCGGCCCGCGAAAATGAATTAAAAACCCATGTGTGCGGCCTGCCAAGCAACATCGGCTAGAAAACATCTTATTGTTTACGACCAGACGCCGATTATGTAAAAAAGTAACATTAAACTGAGAATAAAATGGTGTAAAAGTACTGCTTTGAGGATTTTGGAAACTCAATGGAATTTAATTTTGACTATTTTCCTTATGTTGAAAGTATAGTCATATGTTCAATGAAAACTACCAAATTAGTTGAAATTGTCATTGTCCCTATATTTTTGTGAACAGAACATTGGTATTTACTGTTTCGGAGACTTCATTTTCTGTTTTTGCAGTTTTACCTATTTGTAATATTGCTTTATATTCCTTATAATTCTATTTTGGATGTAACGATTGATAACTGAACTTAAATTGATGACAAAACTTAAATGATCGAAGGATTTCAAAGTAGTTCCGTTTTGAAGTCTCAGAAACAAAGTTTTCAGCCACCCTGTGCAAGTATGAATAAAGTAAATTACCAATTCCATTTATCAAAATGTAGCAAGTCACATGACTATTATAATAGAGATATGCCATGTGATTTGAATGGAGATAATATGTACTTTCTGCTAACACTTGAAGCCTCCGAAATGCCTTGGAGCCTCCGAGACAACTCTGCACTTGCTCTCATATAATAGGCATATAAATCAGTTTTCATTACTTTCGATTGATTACCAATTTGTTATTCCTTA